TGAGTGGCCAAAGTATTTGAGCTTCAGTTTCATGATCTGGCCTTCCAGGGAACAGTCAGGGTTGATTTCTTTTAGGATTGACTGATTTGATCTTCTTGCAGTCCAAGGGACTCTCAAGAGTCTTCTCCAGCATCATAGTTCAAAAGAATCTATTCTTCGGCGCTCGGCCTTCCTTATACCCTGTTTCCCCGAAAATAAAACCTACCCCCAAAATAAGCCCTAGCAGGATTTCTATGCATTTGTGGTATAAGCCCTAGTGTGTCTTCTTGCGCAAAAAGACAGTGTCTTATTTTCGGGGAAACACGGTAGTCCAACTCTCGCAGCCATACATGACTACTGGGAAGACCATTGCTTTGACCATGCGGACTTTTGTTGGCAGGGTGATGTCTCTACTCTTTATCATGCTGTTGAGGTTCGCCATCGCTTTCCTCCCAAGGAGCAGGCGTGTCTTTTGATTTCATGGCTGCTGTCACAGTCTGCGGTGATCTGGGATCCCAGGAACGTGAAGTCTGTTACTACTTCCACGACTTCCCCTTCTATTTGCCAAGGAGTGATAGGGCCGGATGCCATGATCTTAGTTTTTTTGATGTTGAGCTTCAAGCCCACTTTTGCGCTCTCCTCTTTTACCCTGAGCAAGAGGCTCTTTAGATCCTCTTCACTTTCTGCCATTAGAGTGGTATCGTCTGCATATCTGAGGTTGTTGATCTTTTCCCCAGCAATCTTAATTCCCGCTTGTGATTCATCCAGGCCAGCATTTCGCATGATGTACTCTGCATATATATTAAATAAGGCCTGTCTTTTAAGATAGAAAAGTTTCCTCTTGAGGTGAAGATGTATGAAGAATAATGAAGTATCCGGATATTAATAACTCCGTTCCGAAGAACTTCCTCAGTAACTGATAGACAATATATCTTCAAATACGTTATATGCCCTCTTGTGAGTTACAGCAAACCCATCTCATAGTAGATAACGCAATGAAAATGTCAAGACAGTGTGTGACTGCAATAAAAAAGGCCAACGCTATGCTGGGGATTATTAGGAAGAGAATTGAAAACAAATCAGCCAGTATCATAATGCCCCTGTATAAATCGATGGTACGTCCTCATTTGGAGTACTGTGTACAGTTCTGGTCACCACACCTCAAAAATGATATTATAGCACTGGAAAAAGTGCAGAAAAGGGCAACTAGAATGATAAAAGGGTTGGAACACTTTCCCTATGAAGAAAGGTTAAAACGCTTGGGGCTCCTTAGCTTGGAGAAACAACGGCTGAGGGGTGACACGATCAAGGTTTACAAGATTATGCATGGGATAGAGCAGGTCGAGAAAGAAGTACTTTTCTCCCTTTCTCACAATACAATAACTCGTGGGCACTCCACGAAATTGCTGAGCAGTCGGGTTAGAACAGATAAAAGGAAGTCCTTCTTCACCCAAAGAGTGATTAACACATGGAATTCACTGCCAAAGGAGGTGGCGGCAGCTACAAGCATGGTCGGCTTCAAAAGGGAACTGGATAAACATCTGGAGCAGAGGTCCATCAGTGGCTATTAGCCACAAGGTATAGCTAGGAACTCACAGGCTGGGGCAGGTGATGCTCTGTCTTTTTGGTGCTTGGGGGAGGGGGCGACAGTGGGAGGGCTTTTAGTGTCCTGGCCCCACTGCTGGACCTCTTGATGGCACCTGGTATTTTTGGCCACTGTGGGACAGAGTGTTGGACTGGAGGGGCCATTGGCCTGATCCAACATTGGCATCTCTTATGTTCTTAAATGGGCAGTTACTGACAACACATTTATTTTATTTATTTATTTATTTATTACTTTGATTTGATATACCGCCCTAACCCCCGTGGGGGTCTCTGGGCGGTTTACATGTGGGGTGCTAGTCACATTGAACCCTAACTAAGGCCACATTGATTCTATGGGTGGGGCTGCCTACCGGCACCCAGGTGGAGGCTGATGTCTCTTCGGCTCGGCTGTTCTTTTCCGGCTCCATTCCCGGCGGCTAGCTGTTTTTTTCCTGGCGCTTAGGCAGTCAGGCGGTCTGATACACAGGTGACGTCCTCCTCCGGTCTGGCTGCGTCCTTCAGGCTCTGCCGCGCCTTTGGATGACGTCGCTGTGCCTCCGCCTCCGCCTCTGCTGACGACCGCCGCCTGCTGTTTCTGCCGCTGGCCACCAGGGATCATTCCTTTCCGGCTCTGCTGCTATTGCTCGCTGCCGCCTTGACACCATGCCGCTACCTCCGGTATGCTGCTGCAGCCGATGTCCTGCTGCAGCCGCCACCGCAGCTGCCTTCCACACACATCTCAGGAAAAGCTCATAATTATGGAAGGAAGTGTGATATAAAGCCTTGAGCTTTTCCTGAGATGTGTTGTCAATAACTGCCCATTTATGAGATGGGTTTGCTGTAACTCAGAAGAAGAAGAAGAAGAGGAGGAGGAGGAGGAGGAGGAGGAGGAGGGAGCTCTTGACATAAACTGCTCTTTCAGGAACAGCTGTGCCAGAGCTTGTGACTGACCCAAGGTCACATCAGCAGGTGTAAGTGGAGGAGTGGGGAATCAAACCCGGTTCTCCCAGATTAGAGTCCGCACACTTAACCACTACACCAAACTGACCTATTTGAAGATATATTGTCTATCAGTTACTGAGGAAGTTCTTCGAAATGGAGTTCTTAATATTCAGATTCTTCGTGTATTATTCTTCATACATCTTCACCTTAATACTGTGGTCATGATTGAACTAGGGTTAGCGTCTTTTTCACACAGATTGCTATTCCCTTGTATACCTACACTGTGTGTTCCTCTTTGGTTGCTGTTAGGGCAACTCAAGTGGTCGGTCGGGAGCCAAGTGTTTAGGAGCACCTCTGACCCACCCAAAGCGGTCTGAATCAGGGTTGGCAGCAGGCAGTCTTAAGGACCCGGTCCTCTAGCCACTTCCCTAACCCTGTCGGTGTTCACCTCTTCGTTCAGAGGCTGCGTAGAGGCAATGTGGGACGATGCTGCTAGCGTTAACACCGTGTGAGCTCCTGGAACTCACTGCCACAGGATATGATGGTTGCCTCTAGCGCAGACAGCTTTGAAAAGAGATTAGTGTTGCAAAGTCAAGGGCGAGAGATCACGGGACAGGCTGAATTCAGTAAGGAAAAACAACCGTGATATGATAACGAGACACTGTTAGAGAAAAAATATATCTTCTTTTCCCAGTGAATAACAAACCATTAAAGGTGGTTTTTTTTGAAGTAAATTGGTCTCGCGTTTTTTCTGACGGTACAGCGCTCAATAGACCATTTCACTCAAGGTTTCATCAGATGAGACCTTACACTAGAAAATATTTTGTTGTTGTTCAGTCGCCCAGTCGAGTCCGACTCTTCGCGACCCCATGGACCAGGTCACGCCAGGCCCTCCGGTCTTCCGCCGACCTCTGAAGTTTGCTCAATTTCATGTTCGTTGCATCGATGACACACTGTCTAACCATCTCATTCTTTGCCATCCCCGTCTTCTTTGACCTTCAATCTTTCCCAGCATCAGGGTCTTCTCCAGTGAGGGCTCCCTTCTCATTTGGTGGCCAAAGTATTTGAGCTTCAGTTTCAATATACAAAATATACAAAAATACATTAAATTTTCACTACTTATAGTCTGAATACACCCAAAACAGAGATCAGAAGACTTTTGTTTTTAAAGAAGATTAGGCAAATTTGTAGAAGAAGAAGAGGAGGAGGAGGAGATTGGATTTATACCTCGCCCTTTACTACCCAAAGGTGTCTCAGAGGGGCTTACAAACTCCTTTCCCTTCCCCTCCCCACAACAGACACCCTGTGAGGTAAAAGAAGAATAAGAAACTGGATTTATACTCCACCCTTCACTCCCCAAAGGAGTCTCAGAGCGGCTTACAAACTCCTTTCCCTTCCCCTCCCCACAACAGACACCCTGTGAGGTAAAAGAAGAAGAAGAAGAGATGGGATTTATACCCCGCCCTTCACTCCCCAAAGGAGTCTCAGAGCGGCTTACAAACTCCTTCCCCTTCCCCTCCCCACAACAGACACCCTGTGAGGTAGGTGGGGCTGAGGGAGCTCTTGACAGAAACTGCTCTTTTTCAAGAACAGCTGTGCCAGAATTATGGCTTGCCCAAGGTCATCCAGCAGGTGCAAGTGGAGGAGTGGGGAATCAAACCCGGTCCTCCCAGATTAGAGTCCACGCACTTAACCATGACACCAAACTGGAAGAGGAGCCCATCCATTTAGGCCAGATGGCCAAAGTGGAACTTCCACATTCAGAAGTGGAGGAACTTTGTCTTGTGCGCCGCCGTACGAGATGCCGTTTCGCTCTCGTTTCAGGGGCCTCTCAGTCCACCAACCGCGAGAGCATCCAGAAGTCCATCTGCCGCCTGGACGAAGACCTGAGCACCCTCAGCCAAGTCAGCAAGCTCTCCGAGACCCTCAGCTTCCCCCATCAGGTGAGAACGCCCCACCCCCCCACCCCCGGTTGATGGTGCCAAAAAGTTTGGTGCGAAGCTGATGGGGTAACAGGGACTAGAAACCTGCAGCTTGGTCACTGGCTAGTTTAGGTCAAGCCAGAAGGTGAAATGCAGCTCCCCCCCCCTCATTTTCTCGCCCCCTGCCCTGACACTTCTTAAGGACACAAATCTGCAGCGATAGTACTAGAGTTCCTCTTCCCTGCGGTTCGTAAATCTCTAGCAGCTCTGTCAGGATCTAGGCAACAAACGATGAATTAGGAAGCGGCCTTCTACTGAATCGGACCTTTTGGTCCATCAGTGTCAGTATTGTCTAAGACTGGCAGCAGCTCTCCAGAAGAGATTGGATTTCTACCCCGCCCTTCACTCCCCGAAGGAGTCTCAGAGCGGCTTACGATCTCCTTTCCCTTCCCCTCCCCACAACAGACACAACAGGACCTCAGGTTACTTACCAGCCGCCCTTTAGCTGGAGATGCGGGGGATTGAACCTGGGGCCTTCTTCGTGCAAAGCAGAGGCTCTGCCACTGAACCACGGCCCATCTCCAGGGTCTCAGGAGTAGGACTTTCACGTCCCCTGCTGCCTGGTCCCTTGAACTGGAGATGCCGGGGATTGAACCTGGGACCTTCTGCATGCCAAGCAGAGGCTCTGCCAGTGAGCCACAGCCCCTCTCCACAGCTCTCCAGGGTCTCAGGTGGAGGTCTTTCACATCACCTCCTGCCTGGTTCTTTTAACTGGAGATGCCGGGGATTGAACCTGGGACCTTCTGCGTGCCAAGCAGAGGCTCCACCGCTGAGCCACAGCCCCTCTCCTCGGCTCTCCAGGGTCTCAGGCAGAGGTCTTTCACATCACCTCCTGCCTGGTCCTTCCAACCAGAGATGCCAGGGCTTGAACCTGGGACCTTCTGCATGCCACGCAGAGGCTCTGCCACTGAGCCACAGCCTCTCCCCATGCTGGGGTAGTGCTCATGGTATAAACCGATGGAGCAGTTGTCTCCTCAGGCAGCTTAATAATACTTTGCAGTGTTCACAGCTCCCTCCTTGCCTTGCCTCACAACAGCTTTGTTGGGTAGGCCAGTGTTATAACCTCAAACCCCCCCCCCCAATATTTTAGATGGATAGCTGCATAAAGCCACCCAGCGAATTTGTACTGAAGGTGAGATCTGAACCTAGAATGTACTGCTTGACGATGCATTCCCTTAAGCCCAAATTCATCTTTACCCTTTAAAAGACCTGTCTGCCGGAATTTCTGTGTGGAAGGATTGCTACCTGGTTTTTTTTTTGTGTGTGTGTGTGTGTGTGTGTGTGTGAGAGAGAGAGAGAGAGAGAGAGAGAAGAAGAAGAAGAAGAAGAAGAAGAGGAGGAGGAGGAGGAGGAGGAGGAGGAGATTGGATTTATACCCGGCCCTTCACTACCCAAAGGTGTCTCAGAGGGCTTACAAACTCCTTCCCCTTCCCCTACCCACAACAGACACCCTGTGAGGGAGGTGGGGCTGAGAGAACTCTTGACAGAAACTGCTCTTTTTGTCAAGAACAGCTGTGCCAGAGTTATGGCTTGCCCAAGGTCATCCAGTCAGGTGCAAGTGGAGGAGTGGGGAATCAAACCCGGTTCTCCCAGATTAGAGTCCGCACACTTAACCACTACACCAAACTGGAGAGAGAGAGAGAGACGGTGCTTAATAGGGTTGCCAGGCAATGGCAGCTGGCAGGAGTGTTGTTGAAGAGAAAAATTAAGAAGAAAAATAAAGCCTCATCTACTGACAGGAAGTTCTTGCCATAGAGTTCCTGGCGAGCCCTAGAGCTACTCAAAAGTGACGAGGTAGCTCTAGGAACCGCCAGGAACTCTATGGCAGGGGTGGACAAACTTGCTTAACGTAACAGCCACACAGAATAAACGTCAAGTGTTTGAGAGCTGCAGGACATGAACAAATATCACACACACGTTTTTATTGGGAAAATATGCACATATGTTTTTTTGTTAACATTAAATTAGACTGTGTGAAAGAGCCCCATGTGGCTCCCAAGCTGCAGTTTGGCCATCCCTGCTCTATGGTAAGAACTTCCTATGAGTAGTCAAGGTCTTGTTTTTCTTAATTTTTGGCCTTCTGCCACTCCCAGCAACTGGCGGGAGCGTTGTTGAAGGGGGGGCATCCCAGGAGAAAAATTAAAAAGCAAAATAAAGCCTCATCCGCTTACAGGAAGTTCCTGCCGTAGAGTCCCCCCTGTTAGCCAGCTATTGGCAGCAGAGAGAAGGAGAAAAAGGAGAGATTTATACCCCGCCCTTCATTTGGCATCTCAGAGTGGCTTACAGTCTCCTTTCCCTTCCCCTCCCCACGACAGACGCCCTGTGAGGTCGGTGGGGCCGAGAGAGCTTTGAGAGAACTGCTTGTGAGAGAACAGCTCTGAAAGAACTTGTGACTGACCCAAGGTCACCCAGCTGGCTGCATGTGGAGGAGTGGGGAATCAAACCGGGTTCTCCCAGATTAGAGTCCGCACTCTCAACCACTGCACCAAACTGGCCTGTCAGTGGTGGACCCCCACCTGGCAGCCCCAAAATAAATAAACTTGCAGTGGGCTACTGTAGTAAAATGCTCAGATTCAAGAACCCGAATGTGTGTATTTTTCTGCAAGGGCCAATCACAGGCTCTTTCTTGGTCGTTATCAGCTCCCAAATGGGCTGGTGCCTTGCTTCTCAGGGCGATGAGGGCCACGGGCCTTTTGAGGCTTTGCCGGGCCTTCCGCAGACCGTTTGGGACACCCTCCCCCACTAACCCCAGAACCCGCGTGTTCCCTGCCTCCGCAGACCCTGGACGACGTCATCAAAGACCTGATGGCCTCCATCCACCGGGAGCTGGCCGAGAAGCAGTCGCTCTCCTTCACCATGTCGTTCCCGCCCAACAAGATGGAGCTCACCGTCTCCAAGGCCGACGGCAACGAGTCCTACATCTTCGAGTTCCCCAACCCCGACGCGCGCCAGAGCTTCGAGCAGGCCTTTGAGGACACCAAGAAGAAGCTCGGTGGGTAGCTCGGAGAACGAGGCGCAGCTCTTGCCTGCAAGGATATAGGAAGCCTCAATATAGGGTTGTGCCTGCAATGGCTTTTGGGCTGTGGTCCCTAGGTCAGAGGTCCCCAGCCTTGTTGAGCCCCGTCTGGCCCTGATGACTTTCTAAATGCACTTGGCGGGCACCAGGAAAAGGTGGTGGGCACGATGCGCCCACGGGCACCACGTTGGGGACCCCTGCCTCATGCGATTGAAGGGCTTTGGGGAACATTTGGTTGGGTTCTGGTGGCGAGGGATCTGAGGGATCCACTCCACCCCATGGGATCCACTCGACCTGCCTTCCTTGACTTACTCCAATTGGTGTAGAGTTAAGGGCGGGAGTGAATTCTGTTTTCCTTTGCTGGGTTTTCTTAGTGCTTGGAGGAGGGGGGGGGGAGGTTGGAATTACACCCCACCCTTCACTACCCGAAGGAGTTTCAGAGCGCCTTACCATCACCTCTCCCTTCCCCTCCCCACAACGGACACCCTGTGAGGCAGGTGGGGCTGAGGGAGCTCTTGAGAAGACTGCCCTTGAGAGAACAGCTCTGCGCGAACTTGGGACTGACCCAAGGTCACACCAGCAGCTGCATGTGGAGGAGTGGGGAATCAAACCGGGTTCTCCCAGATTGTAGAGAGCAGATGAAGTCATGAACCTACACCCTTGGCGTAGGTGACTTTGGGGTGGGGGGGGCAGGCTCATGTGACTGATTGCTCCTCCGTAGCATGGATTTTCCCTCCTCGTAGAAAAGTACGTGTTTGGGAGAAGAAATGCTAACCTAGCTAGTTTCCTATGAGCAGAGAATCCTCCGCCTGCGGGCCCCCTCTGCTGTCCGTGAGGCCTTAGCGATGGCTGAGAAGACAAAAACCAGTTGTTTAATGTTATACTGTATTGTTGTTTAAAAGTGAGAAGACTTTATTTTTTGTTGTATTCATATTTTAAAAATTTAATACAAATTGTTATTTGCAAAAAAAAAAAAGAAGACAAAGACCGATTCCGCAAAAGCAGTCCTTCCGCCCTCGGTCTCCCATTTCCCCCAGTTGTACTGCTCGATTTCCCACTATATTTGCTGCAGGGCCTCATTTTGACCCGCATCCCCCCCCCCCCCGATTCCCCCCCCGCGAGGGCGGAACGACTGCTTTTGCAGAATCGGTCAAAGATTTTACGTTAAGCTGCAGAATTCTGACCCTGCCCAACTGACAGCTCACCTTGGAATGTACGCTCTGCGCCAGGGGTGGCCAAAGTAGGCTTGCCAATTCCCCCCGGGGGGCAGGGAACCCCCCGCCCCAGAGGCCCGTTACCCGCTGCCGGCTGATCGGGCCCCCGGGGGAACCCCACCCCCAAAGCACGTGACGTGCCCGTGCCCGGCATCAGCACATCACCCGGAAGTGACGGAGCCACGCTGGGCACGCCGGGGGCGGGGCTGCGGTCATCCGAGGGAAAACTCTATGTTTTTCCCTCAGATGACCGTGGCCCCGCCCCCGGCATGGCCGCGTCACTTCTAGGTGACGTGGTTGCGGCGCGCACATGCCTGCTCCCGGAATGGAGATGGAGTCCCCCGCTGTACATACAGCGGGGACTTGGCAACCCTAGGCCAAACTTGCTTAACGTAAGAGCCTGTCACGACTCAGGTGGGGTGTCACCTGACGCTGCCACCACTCTGTATTTAATTTCCCTTGAGAGGGCCCAGAGCACCCTCCCATGACCTTCAGACCTCCCTTTTGGCCGAATAACAGGCGTGAGGACAAGGCAGAGTGAACAATGAAAATAGTTTATTGCCTTCTGACACACTTCCGGTGATGTCAGGGGGTGTGGCCTATGCAAATAAGTTATGCTAATGAGCTCCTGCACTTCTTTTTCTAAAAAACGACCCCTGCCCATAAGGACCACTGACGTACGAGCAACGACATTTTAATCCCGGTTAAAGTATCCATTCGCTTCAGTCCCGCGAACGGTGCTGTTTGATCCCGTGCTGTTACTCTCTCACCTTCAGCGGACCGTTTGTGAACATTCCATGATGTCATCGCAGGTTAGACAGGCCGCAGGGAGGCTTTGAGTGGATTTTTCGTAGACATCAAAGCCCGCTGCTGATTATTGTTCATTTGCCGGTGTCCGAATGAGTCTGTGCGACATTTTTTCCCCCCCTCTCTCTCTCTCCATCCCCAGCTTCCAACAAAAATTGCCTGGATCCTGAGTTCCTAAAGGCGATCCCCATCATGAAAACGAGGAGTGGGATGCAGGTACGTTCAGACTTCGTAAATCAAACCACTCTAGTTTCCTGCCGGTTTTCGAGTAAACAACATAAATCAGAACCTTAGAAATAGTAACAGTCAAGGAACTCATTGCAAACAAGGTGGAGCTCTGCGGGTTGTTCTTGTCTTGAATGCTGATGAAACCCAGCAGACGCCGCAATTGTGTGAGATTTCCCCCAAAAGAGCAGGTTTTGTGGAAGGCAGGAATGTACATACTTCTGGGCTGAGACACGTGAAGTTGTCTTCGACTGAGTCAGGTGATCAGTCGGTTCATCAAGGTCAGTATCGTCTACTTAGACTGCTCACCAAAACGGTCCCGTAAAGGTAAAGGTTCCCCTGCTCAAAAGCCAGTCGAGTCCGACTCTAGGGTTGCGGTGCTCATCTCCGTTTCAAAGCCGAAGAGCCAGCGCTGTCCGAAGACATTTCCGTGGTCATGTGGCCGGCATGACTAAACACCAAGCCGCACGGAACGCTGTTCCCACCGAAGTGGTGCCTATTTATCTACTTGCAATTTCTTGCTTTCGAATGGCTAGGTTGGCAGGAGCTGGAACTAGAGACGGGAGCTCACTCCGGCACGCGGCACACTCGGGTCTCGAACCGCTGAACTACCGACCTTCCACAGCCGGCAGTTCAGCGTCTTAACCACTTGAGCCACCGCAGCTCCTACTCTGGTATTAAAGAAGGCATTCGTTTTTGCGTGCTACTTGTTTATCATAGAACCAGAGAGTTGGAAGGGGCCATACAGACCCTCTAGTCCGACCCCCTGCCCAATGCAGGACCAGCCTAAAGCATCTCTGACAAATATTCATCCAGCCTCTTCTTGAAAGCTGCCAGTGAAGGGGAGCCAACCACCTCCCGAGGCAGCTGATTCCACCTTTGAACCACTCTGACCGTGAAAAAGTGTTTCCTAATATCCAGCTGATACCTTCCTGCGTGTAATTTAAACCTGTTGCTCCGGGTGCCGTCCTCTGCTGCCAACTGGAACAGCTCCTCGCCCTCTGCCAAATGACAGCCTTTCAAATATTTAAAGAGAGCAATCATGTCCCCCCTCAATCTCCTCTCCTCCAAACTAAACATTCTCAAGGCCCTTAGCCTTTCCTCGTAGGGCTCGGTCTCCAGGCCCCCGATCGTCCTCGTCACTCTCTTCTGCACCCTCTCGGTTTTGCCCACATCCTTTTTGAAGTGAGGCCCCGTTTAGAAAAACGAAGCCGTAGCAGGCGTCAGCGTTTGATGTCGTCATTTAATTCACCTTGATGTTTTCATTTAATTCGGATGCACTTCGGAAGAAGACAGTTGTCAGTGGGTTAATGATTCTGGAGGGAGGAGTGTCGTGCAAGGCCGCTTGAGGGGAATGGGACAGGACGATACAGAATTTCTTCCCAAGAGAAGGCCGTGAAATTGCCCCAGACAGCCACTGACAGTCTGAGTAGACAATATTGACCTTGATGGACCAATGAAGAAGAAAGCTGTGAAGAAAGCTAATGCAATCTTAGGAGGCATTAACAGAAGCCTTGTGTCCCGATCACGGGAGGTGGTAGTTCCGCTCTGTTCTGCTAGGGTCAGGCCTCACCTGGAGTCCTGTGTCTAGTTTTGGGCACCACATTTGAGGAAGGAGGTTGACAAGCTCAAGCATGTCCAGAAGAGGGAAACCAGGATGGTGAGAGGGTTGGAATCCAGGTCTTATGAGGAGAGGCTGAAAGAGTTGGGTCTGTTTAGCCTGGGAAGGAAAAGGCTTAGAGGGGACACGATTGCAGTCTTCAAGCATCTGAAGGGCTGTCATGCAGAAGAGGGAGCAGATCTCTTCTCTCTTGCTCCGGATTGCAAGACTAGGTCTAATGGGTGGAAATTAAAAGGGAGTCGTTACCGGCTAAATATCAGGAGAAACTTCCTAGCTGTAAGAGTGGTTGAGCAGTAGAACAGACTGCCTCGGGAGGTGGTGGATGCTCCTTCGCTGGACATTTCAAGCGGAGGAGGCTGGGCGACCATCTTTCGGGTCTGTTTTCGTGCTGTCTTTCGGCTCTGCTCCTGCAGAGTGCAGGGGGTTGGACTAGATGACCTGCAAGGTCCCTTCCAACTCTTAACATTTCTATGATTCTATGACCTGATTCAGTATAAGGCAGTTTCATGTGTCTCAGCCTAGAAGCAGCTGCATTCCCCTGGAACATCTTGTCCCCATTTGTGCAGAAAGGGACCTGACCTGGATATCCCAGGCTAGCCCAATCTTGTAAGATCTCGGGAGCTCAGCAGGGTCGGCCTTGGCTAGTGTTTGGATACATGACCTCCAAGGAATACCAGGGTCGTGACGCAGAGGCAGGCAATGGCAAAACCACCTCTGAAGCGTCTCTGGCCTTAAAAACAAGTCTAGCTCTCCACCTAGTGGTGCATAACAGAGCTAGGACTTCTGGCGGCCAGACAATCTTAGGCTCTCCTGGCCATGCTGCACACAATGCCATACAATCGTTAACTTGCGCAGAAAGGAGGTGTTGATTTTTGTCAGGCCCCTCGCGGCCACTGAAGACCTCCCGTTGCAAATGTCAACCGCGCCCCTCGCCTCTCCTCCAGTTCTCCTGCGCCTCCCCCAGCCATGGCAGTCCGGAGAACGCCTCCGAGGTGTGGGTGTGCAACAGCGATGGCTACGTCGGGCAGGTCTGCCTCCTTAGCGTCAGGAAGGAGCCCATCGTGGAAGCCTGCATCGCCGTCTGCTCGGCCCGGATCCTGTGCATCGCCTCCGTGCCCGGACTGAAGAGAACGTTCCGGTGAGCTCCCCAGTGCCTCTTAGGAATGGCACTATCACATAGGATGTGCTGATTGGCTACAGGAGTTCCCACCTTAAGAACATAACAGAAGCCATGCTGGATCAGGCCAATGACCCATCCAGTCCAACACTCTGGGTCACAGACTGGCCAAAACCTGGTTGCCATCAGGAGGTCCAACAGCAGTGCCAGAACTTCGGAAGCCCTCCCACTGTGGCCCCCCCAAGCACCAAGAATACAGAGCATCCCTGCCCCAGACATAAGAACATAAGAGAGAAGCCATGTTGGATCAGGCCAATCGCCCATCCAGTCCAACACTCTGGGTCACACACTGGCCAAAACCTGGTTGCCGTCAGGAGGTCCACCAGCAGTGCCAGAACTTCGTAAGCCCTCCCACTGTGGCCCCCCCAAGCACCAAGAATACAGAGCATCCCTGCCCCAGACATAAGAACATAAGAGAGAAGCCATGTTGGATCAGGCCAATCGCCCATCCAGTCCAACACTCTGGGTCACACACTGCCCAAAACCTGGTTGCCATCAGGAGGTCCACCAGCAGTGCCAGAACTTCGTAAGCCCTCCCACTGTGCCCCCCCCCAAGCACCAAGAATACAGAGCATCCCTGCCCCAGACATAAGAACATAAGAGAGAAGCCATTTTGAATCAGGCCAGTGGCCCATCCAGTCCAACCCTCTGGGTCACACACTGCCCAAAACCTGGTTGCCATCAGGAGGTCCACCAGCAGTGCCAGAACTTCGTAAGCCCTCCCACTGTGGAGCCCCCCCAAGCACCAAGAATACAGAGCATCCCTGCCCCAGACATAAGAACATAAGAGAGAAGCCATGCTGGATCAGGCCAATCACCCATCCAGTCCAACACTCTGGGTCACACACTGGCCAAAACCTGGTTGCCATCAGGAGATCCACCAGCAGGGCCAGAACTTCGTAAGCCCTCCCACTGTGGCCCCCCCAAGCACCAAGAATACAGAGCATCCCTGCCCCAGACATAAGAACATAAGAGAGAAGCCAATGTTGGTTCAGGCCAATGGCCCATCCAGTCCAACACTCTGGGTCACACACTGGCCAAAACATGTTTGCCATCAGGAGGTCCACCAGCAGTGCCAGAACTTCGTAAGCCCTCCCACTGGGGGCCCCCCAAGCACCAAGAATACAGAGCATCCCTTGCCCCAGACTGAGAGTTCCTATCTATACTTTGTGGCTAATAGCCACTGATGGACCTCTGCTCCATATGTGTATCCAGTCCCCTCTTGAAGCTGCATATGTTTGTAGGCACCACCACTTCCTGCAGCAGTGAATTCCATATGTTAATCACTCTTTGGGTGAAGAAGGACTTCCTTTTATCTGTTCTAGGCCCACTGCTCATTAATCTCACGGGGTGCCCACGAGTTCTTGTATTGTGAGAAAGGGAGAAAAGGACTTTTCTCATCCCTGTGTTCCCCTGGGCTTCCATTCTGGTTTTCTGTGTTTTCCTGGCAGATACATGTGTTTGACATTCTCTCATTTCTTCCTTTCTTCCCACCCACCGGATACCCAGGGAGCGTCCGGAGTGTTTGACCAGCCCGTCCTCCGACCCGGCCCATGCCACGCCGGATGAGGCCGGACCACAGCAGTGTTTGCACATCTCCATTTCTGGGTCTTCGCTGGAGCTCTCGGAACCGATGGACAGCGGCAATCGGGAGCTGGTGCCCTTCGACAGCGACGACACCGACGACGAATCCTCGCCGAGTCCCTCCGGAACCCTCCAGAGCCAGGCCAGCCATTCCACCATCTCCTCCAGCTTCGGAAGTGAGTCCAGAGCCCGTCCCATTACCTACCAATGAGAGTTCGCGTAGAATAGACACACTGAGGGCTAGTCACTTTGCCCTCCACCTGCCCAGCTCATTTATTTATTTATTCCGTTTATAGCCCAACCTATCCTGCAGGCGGGCCCAAAGTGGCTCACAGCATATGATAAAACAATAAAGAACAATCCATAATAAAATCAGTCATTTCATATACGTAAATTAATTCGTTAAAAGAGCCAGTTTGGTGTCGTGGTTAAGTGCGTGGACTCTAATCTGGGAGAACCGGGTTTGATTCCCTGCTCCTCCACTTGCAGCTGCTGGATGACTTTGGGCAAGCCATAGTTCTGTCAGAGCTGTTCTCTCAAGGACAGGCCTCGAACGCGCTCTCTCAGCCCCGCCTACCTCACAGGGTGTCTGTTGTGGGAAGGGGAAGGGAAAGGAGTTTGTAAGCCGCTCTGAGACTCTTGAGTGAAGGGCAGGGTATAAATCCATACTTGTGGGCACCCCGTGAGATTAATGAGCAGTGGGCCTAGAAATTTGAAAACGCAAATAAATCTCTGCAGGTCTCCTACGGTTTCCATCAACTGTTCCTTTTTACTGGGCTGTAAATGCCCCAGATGCTGTGTGGTCCGCGGCCGCCCTGGATCCTTTAACAAGCGCTTCCTCTGCCCAGATAGCAGTCAGCGCTGTTAATATTTCACACGCAGCAGTTCTGTCTGGAACAGTTCTGTCTCAATAACGTTATGGAGGAGCATTCGCTAGTGTGAGCCCCACCTGACCTCCGGAGCAGGGCCGCTGAGACGTGGGCTGACTCGGTCACTGAGGGCCAAAGTACTTGTTGCATCGGGGAATCTAAGATAAACACTGCAGTCCATGAATCCCCCAACATCCTTTCAGGAAGGATGTTGACAAGCTCGAGCGTGTCCAGAAGAGGGCAACCAGGATGGTGAGAGGATTGGAATCCAAGTCTTACGAGGAAAGGCTGAAAGAGTCGGGTCTGTTTAGCCTGGGAAAGAGAAGGCCTAGAGGGGACGTGAGTGCCAGTGTTCCCTCTAAGCTGAGTGAGTGTGCGCTAGCTCACACTTCTTTAGCCACTGGCTCACACATTTCGGTCTTCGCTCAGGAAGGAGGGCTCCAGAGCAAACTAATAATGCAGTAGCCAAATCGCTCGCTCACAACTTCAATGCCAGTAGCTCACAAAGTAGAATTTTTGCTCACAAGACTCCACAGCTTAGAGGGAACACTGATGAGTGCAGTCTTCAAGTATCTGAAGGGCTGTCATGTAGAAGATGGAGCAGATCTCTTCTCCCTTGCTCCGGATTGCAAGACTAGATCTAATGGGTGGAAATGACAAGGGAGTCGATACCGGCTAAGTATCTCCCCAAATACTAGAACTAGAGGGTATCCAATAAAGCTGATGGGCAGTAGGTTCAGGACAGACGAAGGGGAATACATCTTTACACAACAAGAAGAAGAGAAGAAGAAGAAGAAGAGATTGGATTTATACCCCGCCCTTCACTTGGAGTCTCAGAGCGGCTCACAAACTCCTTTCCCTTCCCCTCCCCACAACAGTGCTTAAAATATGGAATTCACTGTCAGAGGATGGGGTGATGGCCAATGAAACAAACAGCTTTAAAAGGGGATTGGATAGATTCATGGAGGATAAGTCTATCTGTGGCTACTAGCCACGGTGGCTGAGGGGAACCTCCACATTCAGAAGCAATCAACCTCTGAATCCCAGAGTCAAGACTCAACATCAGGCGAAAGCCTCAGCCTCCGTGCCTTCCAGAGGAACTGGTTGGCCACTGTGTGAGACCGGATACTGGACTAGATGGACTGTTGATCTAATCTTGCAGGGCTCTTCTGATGTTCTTATCAGGGGAAGGCCTCAGCCTCTATGCCCTGTTGTTAACCATCATAAGAACATAAGAGACGCCAGTGTTGGATCAGGCCAAAGGCCCATCCAGTCCAACACTCTGTGTCACACAGTGGCCAGAAATACCAGGTGCCATCAGGAGGTCCACCAGTGGGGCCAGGACACTAGAAGCCCTCCCACTGTTGACCCCCCCCCAGCACCAAGAAGACAGAGCATCACTTGCCCCAGAGCCCCTATCTATACCTTGTGGCTAATAGCCACTGATGGACCTCATCCAGAGGAACTGGCTGGCCCCTGTGTGAGACGGGATGCTAAACTAGATGAACCTCTGGTCTGATCCAGCAGGGCTTTTCTGATGCTCCTAGCCACTACTACAAACTGGAGGAAAGCGAAGTGTAACTAGATAGGTTTTGTGTCGTGGTTACGAGCGGCGGAGTCTAATCTTGGAGAACCGGGTTTCATTCCCCACTCCCCCACGTGCAGCTGCTGGTTTGACCTTGGGTCAGTCACAAGTTCTCTCAGAGCTGTTCTCTCAGGAGCAGTCCTCAAAAGAGCTCTCTCTCAGCCCCGCCTACTTCACAGGGTGTCTGTTGTGGGGAAGAGGAAGGGAAAGAAGAAGGAGAAGAGAAGAGATTGGATTTATACCCCGCCCTTCACTTGGAGTCTCAGAGCGGCTGACAAACTCCTTTCCCTCCCCCTCCCCACAACAGACACCCTGTGAGGTGGGTGGGGCTGAGAGAACTCTGACACAAACTGCTCTTTTTCAAGGACAGCTGTGCGAGAGCTTGTGACTGACCCAAGGTCATCCAGCCAGGTGCAAGTGGAGGAGTGGGGAATCAAACCCGGTTCTGCCAGATTAGAGTCTGCACACTTAACCACGACACCAAACTGGCACAGATTGTAAGCCAACCTGAGACTCCGAGTGAAGGGCGGGGTATGAATCCAGTCTCCTCCTCCCCCTCCTCTTCCAGATGTAACTTGCCCTCTGCCGCACTCAGCGTTTTGGAGGTCTTATTCATTCATGCCTCTCTTTCTCTCGCCTCCCATTGGCCAGATGAGGAGATCCCGAGCTCTAAAGACGTGACGGCGGAAACCACTAGCTCGGAAGAGGAGCAGGAGCCGGCCGCCTTCCTCCCCATCGCCAGCACTTTCGTACAGAACAGGAACAGCGAGAGCCCCATGGACGGCCGGGCCATGAGGCGGTCGAGTCGAGGGTCCTTCACCCGGGGCAGCCTGGAAGAGCTGTTGAGCATCGACCCGGAGGCCTATCAGAGCTCTATGTGGCTGGGGACTGAGGATGGCTGGTAGGAACAGAACTGGGGTTCTCTTTTTTGGGGGGGGGGGGAGTTAGTTTTACGAAAGCAGTTGGGTAGTCATTTCAATACAGGGCTATGCTACTCATCGGTATTAATCTGTTGCCACATGGTTTTTATCTTGCATCTCGCTGCATTGGTTATTTCTACCTAGGCAATATCATTTCTTGCATTTCAGTTTCTTGCATTGCAGTTACTCAGACAGAAGGGGGCGCACTGTTAGGTATGTTTCTCTGAGCCAGAGCTGAAGCTTTTGACCAAAGGAGTCACATCTCGCTACCGGCAGGGGTCATTTCCTGCGGGAGCGCACAGGAGCGGAGCTCCGGCAGTAAAGAGCACATGCAACAAGCCCCGCCCCCTGCTCCCAGCAGCCCTCAGTCAGAGCAAGAAGCAGCCGGGTAAATTGCAGAGCCCCCCCCCCCCCCGCCCCCGGCGCAAAACAGCCCACGAGGCACCCG